GCAGACATCCACAACCGATTTCATCCCACTGTGTTTTCATGGTATAGAAACGAAACAATGAACATATGCTTCAGATCCTACAGTAGTTATAATCTACTGATTAATTATAATCTAGTGAGTCATCACAGAAGGAGCGCACTTTTTAAAATGAGTGATCCGTAATTGGTTATAACATCAGAAAAAGCCATTCTTCATGGTCGATGTTAACGCGAACAACTGAATGTCAAAATGAATCTCATACCTCAATAATTTTTTCAGAAATAAGCAACTTAGTTAACAAATCAAATTTTTTTATTCTTTTTACATCTGCATTGATATATCGAATAACTCACCTGAATAATTTTTTTACATCTATCTTGTGTAAGATGCATTAAGCAACAGAATCACTGAACAGAATTATACCATTAAAAAAATACCCTTTCCTATATTTTTAAGTGTAAAATGGACACACAAACAAAAACATAATAAAGAGATATATTGGTGTTTTGTAATTAGCTCTGGAATATATTTTTCTGTTGATACCTGTGACCATATCCAATGACTACAATAGGTCAATATTTCTCCTTTTATATACCAGTTTCAATCATGTAATTTTGATAATAACTATTATTATTTGTAAAATCTGTTTCTATTATCTAGGTTATACAGATGGTAAAATTTGTTTATATAAAACAAATTACTTTAAACCTATACTTGAATGGGATGTTGCGTCATCAGTGCCAATAACAAATCTATCCAAAATAAAACTAACTAAAAATAAAGATGACACAGTAGTACCAGTTTCAAAATCAACATCAAAGATTTCAGTTAATTGTTCATTTGTTAGTATTCGTAAACTTGTTTGGTCAGCTACTCGTTCTTCAGTATTTTTCAGTTTGGATTCAAATAATCAAGTTATTTTATGGAATATTATAGATATATTCAACCTGAATAATAATTCTCTACATTTAAATAATACAAAATCCAGTTTGAAGAATGATTATATGATAAACGTGAACCCGAGTGATAAAAATATACTGTCTTGTCAAATTAATGATATTTGTATAAGTAAAATGCCTTGTTCGAGACATATTAACCGAATTTCATCATCCTCAATAGCATCGATTTCGACTCATTCATCGCCTTTAATCATTTTATTCTATCCGCATAAAATTAGCACATACTGGGTTAATTCCCGTTGGACAAATGAATCAGTGAACGAAAATACTTTATTAATGAAAACCTTCGATAGTTTCAGTAGTATCAGTTAACCTAAAATTTAATACTTTATACCTATGAATGTAATATTTTTTTGATTGGATACGTGATTTTGAGTATTTCTTCATGTTTCTATAGTTTTAATTCTATTACTCAGTTTTAAAAATTGAAATGAAATAAGCAGATGTACATAATACAGATTGAAGATGAATGAATCACTTTTTTTTCTTTGAATACGGATCTATGCATATATATGGAATCACTTCTGTTAGGTATTCCCACAGTCCTAAAGATTTACATTTCAAGACCATATACTAGTGTTAATTGATGACTGTGTCAACCATACTTTTCCAAACAATTTAAAGCGGTGGTTTATTGTTCATGGGAAAGAAACAAACGTAGTATATACTTCTTCACTTTTAAGCTGAGAATACTTAATCGTCAAATACAGTTGAAATAAGCTGAACGAAGTTAAGGAGCGGCAGTTGTTAGTGTTTTCCTGTGAAAGGGATATCAGAAACGTACACCAGCCTTGTAAGGGCTTTCTAATCGAACACCATCGATCGAGTAAGCACTTGTGACGAACTTTCACTGGTATTTTCAACCCCAAAACTATTTTCGTTCGAGTTATCCACTATCCCTTTATCCATTCAATTTCGTTGTGAATCTCCTCCTAGAATTCAATATTCCTTCACTTAATTATTCATATATTTATCTCCTATTAGATAATTTACTCCTCTACTTGGAATACGCGGATGACATTGTTCTGTTTGGTAGAAACTTCGGCACAATATTGAGTCTTCTAATAATCTTGAGCGCCCAAGACGAACACGTTTCTTACGCATATACTTCTCCATCTAAATGCAAACTTTTGTTCAAGGTCAGGACCAATGACAGAGAGGGTCGCAGTTGGGCATGTCGACTATTTCGCTTATCTTAGATGTTTCGTCCGTCGTGATGGGTCGACGTTTGACGAAATCTCAATACGGATTTAGCTAGCACGATTGTCACTCGTAGGCTTGCGTCACTTATAGAGTAGAAGAAGTATCTGTGTTTCAAGCAAAGAGTGAGTATGGTACTCAACAGTGCACTATGCATTATTACATGGCTGTGAAACACGGTTTACGAAAGTGAAGAATAAGTGTAGAATGCGTGTTGCCAGTCACAGATGTCTCGGAATAATTGACCACGTGAGTGCATCATGTTTAGGTTAGGTGTAGGGTTCTTGGTAAATGTGGGCAGCCAGTTGATGAAGTTATGAACCTTGATTAACTGAGGTGGTTGGCACAGGTGTGACGTTTGCCTAACAACCACCTAACTGAATGTGCATTGTTTGCTGGTGTAGAGATGTGTTGGAGGGAAGCTAGAAGTTGTTAAACCGTAATGTGTCACCAGTTCATGAAGTCATTAAATGTTGGTTGGCTCGAGCCACAGTGGTGGATGCAGACTACATGTTTTGGATCGGCTTCATGACTGTGATCAGTGATTGTAGATTTCGGATGAAGTTGTTGAGTACCGGTCGTAATGATGTAAATGAATTCACTCATTATCTTGAATTCCAGTATTTCTTTATACGTACATTTTCATTCTATCTTTTCATACCATATTCTCAATGTAAAGTATTTTCTATGACTATCTATCCAAGTACATTTTAAGTTTTGAGACATTTATTCCTTAAAACAAATATATTAAAACTATGCAAAAGACTTCTTCTAAAAGTTAGTTGAACGTATTTTTCTCTTGTCGGAAATATTTTGAAATGACATCAAAACTATTTATCACTTTTAACACTTCATACTATGTCTAGAAGGCACCAAGTCAGTTTGCATTTTATCCATAACAGTATTTTTAGGAAATGTCAAAATATTACGACAAATGTTTAGAACCTTTGTCGAGCTGTAATTTAACTACTTAAAAATAAGTTATTTTATAATATATAAAGAACAAAATTTCAATTAAACCTGACAAACTACTAACTGATACACTTTGTTTAGGTCGGTGTTAAGGTAAATTATCGAATACCTATTTTTCTAATGTTTTAGGTATTTCATCTACAGAGAATTGACATAGGTGAACTTGATATTGTTTCTATGTTTTGAATCTTTTTATTAATTTAAGTTTCATTATATTATTTGGTGATACATAAAAGAGATTGTTAGTTTATATCTCTTATTCATGGGAACGAAACAGTAGCTACACCAAAATATTTAACTGTTAACAACAGCGCATAATTTGAATGGGATTGTATATTTATGTGTATATATATGAATACCTTTTGAAATGCGTGTGCTGACCTTTAGTTAAATATATACCGCCAGGTTTAAACTATGCCCTTTTGGCAAACAGCTGTTATTATTCTTTTTTGCTGTTTTATTTCGTTTGTATTAAATAAAATGAACAAGGCCTTGATTACTTTCAGATGATAGGTGGTTAGAGGCGATCGACAAGAAACCCTAGACCGAGGTTTCATGCTATTTGAGGTTCCTCAGCAAAGTGTACTTCTAATCTTGAGGGAACTGATTTTCCCTGGTGCATTAGGTTTCATATCATCCACCTGCGCAGCTGGATCTTTAGAATTTGGTCACCAATACTAATGACTTTGCCTACATAACATTGATCACTCTTGAGTGATCATTTAATTGTTCACATACTTCCATTTATTTAACTGGGACTCAAAGTGCTAAAGGAATCCGTAGTTTGAAAAGTTTTTACATAAATAACTTCAAAAATATTATTGGGATGACGAGCCAACCTAAGTTAGACAAACATTTAAAATCAGAAAGCACTTGATAGCTGTTTCGTCCACAAACCCCTATATTGATAGTTTCAAAAATCTTAGTCAGCTCATATCTTATGTGGATACTTGCAGTCTTAGATAATGCATTCCCATCAGTTTGTCTTTTAATAACGCATCTAGAGTATGAACTCGAGGGTCACTGTATACCGTTAGTCTAGAAACTTAGTCTAATATGCATTGCGCAGTATGTTACCATCATCATAAGAATTTTATGTATTCTGAACTACACTATACTGTTAAGGGTGAAAAACGATTATTAATTATTTTCACAGTCTCGTAAAAGCAACTTTATTTCTCTTCTGTATTTCTGTAAAACTTAACCGTGTTTAGGGTAATGTTTAATGGAACATGTGATACTGGACAGGTCCTCATTAAGAAATATCCAATAACTTATTCATATTCTAATCCAAGATTCTCATATTTCACAACAAAGCAATACTATTCACTCACTTATTCCAAATCTGATGGGCTATATTTGTTCACTTCAGCTAATTAATGGTACATCAGGATCCTTATTCAACTTTGTTATTGAGTTACTTGCCCAACCTTGACTTGGCCAACTTCACAAGTTATAACTTCTCATTAGAATGATGGACAATATGATTGATCAAGACATTTGAAGGTTCATGGTTCAGTTTTTTATGTGGTTATGAATGGACGCCCGTGAAAAGCCTTAAAAAACAGCTGAACAAGCAGCCAGTGTTCCGTGAACTTCAATAGGTTTCAAATCCATGTTACATCTTATGTATTAGCATTTTCGGTCTGAATATAAAAACCAGCTTAGAAGAAACTGTAGTTTACCTTGTTTAGTGTAATATTTTTGGATCTAATTAACAGCAGTATTAATTTTTGATCTGGAATGCAAATATATTTACATGATGACTTTGTTTTGTAAATGGATGATAATATATAGTTTTAAAATTTATTCTTCTAGATCCATTTTTTATGTGTAACATTTCAGTCAATGAACTAAATTGATCTCAAATGAAATATTAAAAGAAACAAACAGTTCACATAAAATGTTATATTTTGACTTTCAGTACTTCATGAAATATACGTTTAGACATACGCATACAACAGAAAAATAAAGAAACATACTTGGAAATAAAAGATGAATTTTTTGTTTAATACCTAACAGCCTGATGACTTTATAACATTAAGGTTATCTTTATCTTATTTGTTATATCTAATGTGTTTGTATGATTATTTTCAGTGAACTTTATAACAGGCACGCACATACACACACACACACACATTACATTTTAGATGAAAGGACGGAAGTAAACTGAATTAAAAAGAAATAAATCGTGTCAGTTTGTCAGAGAGAAAAGCAAAATAAACTATTAAAAAAAACCCCAAACATAACAATAACAGTGATAATTAATATGTACATTAAATTTATGCGTATACGTGTGCACTTGCGTAACATAATCGTTTACTGTGTTAGAAAATGAAAAAAAAAACTGGTAGAAAATTTATTATTCTTATTCTAGACTTTTCTTCACATAATTTTTTTCTTTATTACATTCGAAATATACTAGAATGAAAAGGTGGAAAGAAAAGAAGAGAACAACTAATAAAAGGTAGTTTACGCTGAACACTGGGTTGACATAGATAATAGTGCAAACAAAAAAAAACAATATCAAAGCAGATTGGAATACATTTGGTCAAGAAATGCATCCATTCGTATCTTCTGTGTTAGAATAAAACACCGTTTTTTATACATACATAAATATACATAAACATCTAGTCATTGTCACATAAATAAGCACAAAAGAGGCATACCACGAAGAAAAAGAATGGTAGAAATATACGTGCAAGTAAATGAATATCCAACAGTAATAATATTGCATTTATTAAAAACAAATACAAAGAGTAATAAGAGTATTCATATAAATCAGCCGTTACATACATAATATGGCTCTTAATTATTTAAAAACAAGAGTTCATTATTATCGAATTTCGCAGAGTGAAACTGTTTATTAACTATATTGGTACCGTTTTAAAAATACTGACTGATTAATAGAAAGGGTAAGGATAGGAATAATTGATATGTTAATATTTATTGTTACTGTGTCATGGTGCACAATTATTATTCGATAACCAGAGATCTGTTTACTTCAAAAGACGTTTGAAACTTAAAGAAAGACAATACACAAATTGTTTATAGTGATAACTATTCTGTTTTGCAAGAAAAAAAAAACTATTGACAACATTATTGTCATTACATCAATGTAAAGTACACAATCATGGTGAATCACTTTGTATTTCGTGTACAACCATAAAGTCAAACAATAACTCAAGAAATAATCATCAAGGTAGCTGGAAAATATTGATAAAATTTGAGTTCATAACAATTATATATAACACAATATTCTTCATTGTAATAAGATCATATACTTACTTATACTACATAAATCACTGTATGATTATTTCGGATCATCGGAAGTGTTCATTTGGGTCTGACTAGTTATGTAATAACCGTGTAATGTAATAGCCATAATAATCACTGTCAGTAACAATCCTGGCAAACATCAATTTTACATAACCAAATATTTTTCATGAATTATTAAGATATCTCTTTTGCATTTTAAAACTTATGTAGATAAGTTGAAGGTGAAACAAAAGAAATAAATAAAAGATTATCATTAGAAATCCGGACACAAAATATTCATACATGTTGCACAAGTTAGTGAATACAATATTTATTGAAATACATTAGTCTAGGCACAGAAAGAGTACGACACTAGTGTTTACGTATATTATACACCAAGAAAAATATTGTAGAGAGAAGCTAAAAAGTAAATTTTTACAACACAAACTTCATGTTCGATGTTCACTTGACAAACCACAATTATTGGTCTCAAAGTAATATTGGATCTATAAATGTATAAAATCACTTACAAAATTGTGCTGAAATCTAGAACAGTGAGTATTTATACAAGATATAGAGGAAATATTGAAAGTGACATTCACTAAATTGTATACAGCATATTCTGTCTCGATCTTCTGATTTATACACTTAGGTGTGTAACGAATCGTACACACATTTGGATCTAAAATAAAACTCATTCACTCAGCATCACCGGATCCATTGAAGATAATAAAAGACAGTACAACGTCTGTACTAAACGACTGCACGATGTCAAGAAAGTAAAACAAACTCATTACTCATAGATAGAAAAACTCAGTTTATAAACGACAGAAAAGGCCCAACACAGACAAGAATAATTTCATAATATATAAGATGATAGGTAACGTCGAGATATTTTTAGAGAATTCACATAGTTTATATATAGATAGTTAAAGAAGTCCTTAGGAGAAGACTATGCATACATACTAAAGTAAAGGCTTTATGGTAAATAAAATATTAATAACGTTGACAATAATTCAACATATTGTTAAATAACCACAATTCTTCTTCACCATCTATTCAGTGAAATAAAATTTGAATAATAAAATGAACCAGTGGTTTGCGCGTTTCTGATTTTCTGTTTTATCATTGTTTATTGAATTTTTAGTACATTGAAATCAACCATAACGTGTCAATCGATAGATGTGGTGTTGTGCCCTACAACCCTCTTGTGCAACTTCCAATACATATGCAATACATAATAATACTTCATTTGTTAATTTATTTGTCAGGACCTAAAATAGAATATTTTTTTGAAAAGAACAGAACAACAAGTATAATTAAAATGTCATGACAACAGAAAGATACTTTTCATTTTCAAAACTTGAAAAAAAAATGATTAAAAATTTTTTATTACTTGTGAATTTAAAATCATTATATGATATTATTACCCTTATAATACGCTATACTAATAATATCACGATTATTTATATTAACTAATGCAGTTGTAAAAATAATTACCACTTTCGTTACACTTGTTCATTGAGATGATAATCTTCAGATAAATTGATGATGACATTTTTCATTCGAATAAAATCTCAATTGCTTTTTGTTCTTCTGAAAACATTGTCTTGTTGTCTAGACTTTAACGTTGACTGAATTCTATACAGATTTGCGATGGACTTTTTTTTACCGCATAGGATTTAGTCACTTTCAAACATAGAATTCAGCTTATCACACCATCTGGAAATAGTTTAGTTTTACTATATGTTCACCATTAATGTGTCTGAAATCCCCCCTTCCAAAAAAATAGATGTATTTCCTCAGGCAAAATAAGTTTTGGCGAATAAGGAACATCAGTCTGGAATAGTTATTTTTAGAAATAAATTGTCCTCCTTCATCAGGATAACATAAAAGTAGCATAATTGAAATACTTCAAAGATTTAAAACATTGTGAATATCGGTACCTGACATGTAAATAAAGTTTTAAGAAAATGAGCTGTTTTATGAAGAGATTAGCGGCACCATAATTTAAAACATTTTGAAATCAGATCATCTTATAAATATTTTTCTTGAAAAAGTTCTGTTCTAAATAAAAACGTCAAGTTATGAAAATCGGTAACTGCTAATTTCTGTATACATTAACTATTACAATCACCCTCTTTAGTAAAAGTCCTTCATTTTCTTTTTTCGGAGAACAGTCTACTGAAATATGAATCGCAAACAAAAATCAACTGTAGAGTATCAGCTAATAATATGGTTAAACCTTTTCAGTATAAATAAGGTTACAATTTCCCACGTTGTTTAACCCAGAAAATCTTTGGAGGATCAAAAAGATTTATATTATGACGTAATACTTCAGTTAGTTAATGGAATGATAAATTGTTGAATTATGCATTAAAAATATGCTATGGATTAATTTAATTTTATCTTAGTGGTAAATAAATATACTTTTTTAACATAATTATATAGATTAGGATTCTTTTATCAGTAGAGTGTCTCCAGTCAGTCAGCCAGTTCGTAAAAGATTCTCTATGTAAACAAAACAGTTAACCATAGATGAATTGCATATCAGTAAAATCCCTCAGCAAGTAATAAATCACATGAAACAATAGACATTCAATCAACTGTGAATCATTTACAATGTGATGTAATTTTTCACTGATCCAAATTGATATATCCTACATCATTACATTGATAAAGCAAATTAAGAAGTACAAGGGTAAAGGAGCTGAGATAACGCTACTAAATGTAGTTCAAACTAAATGTTGAGAACATAGTTATACATGAATGAATTAACCTGAAAAGCGAATAGTACTAAGCTCATTTATCCGGTGATTCTACCATTGAACGAGAACTGTTTCGAAGAAACTTATTACCAGATAATACCAACTTACTTTCGAATATCACTCCTAATGCATCTTTATTTGTAAAAGCTCAGACAGGACGTTTGTATACCTAGTTCAAATAAGCGATTAGCTGAGATTTTGAGATGGTAGTAAACGAGCGGTAAGACAATAAACTAATCGTCATTGTCACTTTGTTACTCTCACTTTTACAGATCAGTGAACCCCAAGTTTAAATTCTGATCTAATGAATGGAATGCGATCAAAGTTCCAGGTCTTGTAAACAGGCCCACAAACCAGACGTGTAATAATTATTATTAGTATTATTATCGTATAATCATATTTGTAGCTTTTCTAATACTAACACGAATACTACCGTTTCGCAATACAATGATGGAATGTTTGGTATGATTACCAAAATTTGACTAGATAAATTAAGATAAATTGAGTATTGAACAGATTGTTGATAAGAGAAGTAATATGGTTTGTAATATCTCAACGAGCAACGAAACTAAATTTCATGATGATTCCTGACTCAATGTAAGCCACTTCTTCAAAGAATAAATTCATATACAAATTAATCTTGACTTTAGCCAATGAATATCTCAGCTACATTAAAAACCACCTATTTTTTAGAACTCAAAAAATTCCAAAGTAAATCAAAAATAGCAATGCATGTCATCTTCAATAACCATCAAGTCGATATTAAAAACATCAAAACAATAAAAAAGGCTTCTCCAACTACAAAGAAAGGCGAGTGGCTCGAGCCTTCCATGTACTACTAAATCCTACTGCTTTCAATCCTAGCTACATCTCACAGCGTTATTGCACATGCGAATTCAACATAACCCTTCATATTACAAATGTCAAACTTTTCACACCCACTAACATACACATTAACGTTAACACACATATACACAAGCATGTCACATGAAAATCACACTGACCCAAGTGACTTGACATTGACTTGGTCGGACCTGTTTTTAATTGATTGAAATAAATATTTTTGTGTCGTTGTTTTGTACAATTTGAACCTGGATTTATCTGCTTAGTTTATTTATTTTTTGAAGAAGTGGGTTACACTGAGTCAGAAAACGACCGAAAATTTAATTTCACTTAGTTTTATTATTAATACTGGAGTTTATTTATATATGTGTTTTATATCACGAAATATAAGAACCAGTTTATATAAGAACTCTCGTCTAAATTAGAGCGAATAGTTTCACAGTATTTGAGCGCCGAGTTGATGTAAGACATTAAATAGGAATAATATATATTTGTAAAATCTCAGCGAATGAATTTGTAGTAAATCCAATCCAACCAGATTGCCAGGCGAAACGTTGGATTTACTACAAATTCATTCGCAGAGATTTTACAAATATATATTATTCCTATTTAATATAAGAACCAGTTGTTCAGCAATTCAGTTGGCGTATATTTTTTGCATCAGAATGAACTTAGCTATTCAGAAACTTGAGTTAAGTTGATCATCTTTCGATGAATATTAAAATATTCATGAATTCAAAAACAAAATCAAATAACAAATTGTTTTACACATTTCATTGAATTGATGATCACTATACGCCATACTTGGTCGCGTAAAAGTAATGAAAAAGGCTCTCTTATCTGTTTTCTTAAATATTGGAGTTTATTTAATAGAAATATTAATTACACTGATGTTCAGTGATACATTTGTCCAAACAATAAAAAAGTGATTCCACTTCATATAAAATGATAACGAATAAAAATATTTTCGATTCATCGAAAAAGGACACTTAGTACTAAATGACAATTTGGAAGATAATTATCAGCCTAATAAATGTAAACTAGATTTCAAGTATAGTGTACTTGTTTATAGTTCTTATTCTAAAGGACGAATAGTAGTTGCCTTAGCAGTTATTTTGGGTGAGGAGACATAAATGTATGCTTGGACATATCAGTATTAAAAAAACGAAGTTATGACGAATGAAGTGTACAGAAACTATAAAAGCTAAATATTTTAGGGATATATATATATATATATATATATATATATATACTGTTAAACTTATCAAATCTATACATGTATATTAACTTGTATGATCTTATAGACATCAGTATATCAACACTTGAGATTAGCATTTCGATACGAAATTATCATTAGGGTTTGGACAGTAATTTTACAAAGGTAATGACTACTGTTTATAATTTGTAGATCAAAATATTCCCGTTATGAAAATAAATCAATGCATTAAATTCCCATTCTATAATGATGAGTATTTCATATTTTACTTATAAATGACAAATTACAACCAGACTGAATAACTTTTACGGTGTATGAATTAAACACAGAGTTATGGCTAAAGTATTAGTTCCGTGAGGACATATGAACAAATAATAAATATGATTATGTCATATAAAGATTATAATACTAGATTAGTTAATGTGAATAATAACAATGAAAGGTTGTGTGTGCAAATGAAGTTCCTTCGCTGAACTCCGTGCTTTCAATGTTTAAACGGTAATTATGTGTCAACAGAGTTAATTGGTTATCATATGATATCTGAAGCTAATATGTGGATCTCTTTTCTAAATAAATATGGTTTTAGATAGAAAAAAGTTTATTGGAATATTGGATGTCACAGTGTATGAGTGGGAAAGACGATATTTAACTGACTGGTTATCATTGTCATTATGACAACACCTGATATGTACTGGAAAATACACATATGAAACGAATTATTTGTCATGGTTTGATATACATCAAGAAACACATTCAATAACAGTAAGCTGATTCTTTTGACACTAAAAGCTTTAAACCAATAAAAATACATTTCTTTTTTCTTATTAACTGGAAGAAATTAGCTTTGTACGTATTTTTTTGCAAATATGACAGATGAATCAAAAGCTGAATAACATTCTAATACATAACTTAATCGTCTTTCATTTAGCCTAGTATGAATGGAATTTGAAGCATTAATTAAACGCCTTTAGATTCTGGATTTAGAAAATCGGAATGGTGAATATACCAAATGGCTAGAGATAAAAATTTGTTTAACAACGCTGTGCTCCATTCAAATTTTTTTAGTTATGAATTGAAAATATAGGGAAATAAATTATACAGGGCTTAACACGAAGCAGGACAACGTATTATTCGAATATCTGAATTCTGGTGAATAAAATTACGAAAAACAAACCTGATAGATTCATTACTCTTGAAAAACATAATGATCTTAAAAGTTACTGTCTGACTGGAATCTCACCGACTTTCTCCATGAAATATGGGGTATTTGTAGTAAACTGTATCCACACAATTTTGAATAAATTGAGCATTGGGTAGATTGTTATAAATAAATTAATATATTTGTAATATCCCAATGAGTAGAAAAATTAGATTTTCTGACGTTTCGTGACTCAGTGTAAGCCACTTCTTCAGAGAACAAAATTTGTATCCACACAAGTTATTGAAA